TTTTCCAGAGCTGATTCCTGAGTACTGAGGTAGCTGCTGTCTCCCGCAGGACCCAGTTCTTCTGTTCTATCTAGTTCATTTCTTTTGCTTAACAGACAATGTATTTACCCTTTCATCACTGTACTCGTATCATGTAGAGGCTCAATGCTTGTGACCCCTCGGTTTTGGGGATTTGTGGTTTTATTCTGAGAACTTTCCTTCAGTTGGCTTTATCTTTGCCAGTTTATTGTTCTAATTATCGGTTTGTTGTATATGGGCTTTAATGCCAGTGTCGGAATTGGTATTGGTCGGGCTTGCCCAGCCTTGCGGCAGGGCGCCATCACGACCGGGATTTGGAGTCGTGACAAAATATCCCCTTTTGTGCTAGTTTTCAATGAGAAAATGATACTATATAGCCTATGTAAAAATAATAGCCAAAAAAATATATAAAATTTATATGTATATACACGCACACATACACTTTGTATGTTAACATACAAAAATAATACAAAATTTATATATTTTTTTGGCTACAAAATGTAAATAGTTTCTGGAGCGGGCTAAAAGTGATAATACAATCTGGTTATTCGATTGCTTCAATAATATGCCTGGAAGTGATCTTGGAAGCTCTATTTTTTTTTTAATTTTAACTTTTCTTTTTGGAAAAATCAACCAAAATTTTTAAAAGTAAAAGTTTCAGCATTAAAATCTTAAATTTATCAGCTTTGTACTATTAGTAGGTATTGGTTTATAAAGTTTCAATAAGTAAATTAAAAGGACGGTGAGTGTCGAAACTAATTACCGTAATTGATTTTGGATAAATTCTGTTAGTGAGGTTAAAGGTGCTCCATTTTAATATACTTAAGGGACTAAATATGCCTAAGGTTATATTTGAAGGACCAAAATAAACATGGGTAATGGGTAACGGACAATATTGGCCAAAAAGTAGAATTTGTTGTGTGCAAGATAATACATAAAGGACCAAACTGCACTTGAGCATACATACGGACTCTTGTGATTCTCAAAAAAGTTTCCACGCCGCGGGTAAAAAATGGTATAAAAACCCTTCAAATGCCTAAAACCCCAAACCCCTTAGCTCCAATTTACCGCTTTCCCTCCCTCTTGTCAGTGTGAATAATCATCATAATGGCTGATGGTTTCGAATCTCATACTGTTTGTGCTCCCAAAGAAACCATTTCTTTCACTGAGAAGGCCAACTCTGTAAAGATGACAAGCATTTCTGAGAAGCTCAATGTGGATACTCAAGAATTTGATGTCACACACAATACCCATTTGCCGCCCAAAGATACAACAGATTTTGTGACCAAAGATGAGGGGTCTGTCAGGTGTTCACTCAAGATTGAAGTAATTGATGATACAGCAATGATTGATATCTCTCAAGGTGGAAAAAGTCGCACAGTTGATAAAAGATTCAAATCAAGAACAAATAAGAAGAAAAAGAATGCAAACCATCAAGTAGAAAAAGAGAATGGAGAGAAAATGGTGGCAAGAAAAGCAAAGGAAAAAAATGTGCTTATTTCTGATGGCTGTAATAGAAAAGGAGGAGAAGAGAAAATGGTTTATCGTAGAAAAGAGTTGGAAAAATTGAGATTTATTGGAATCGAAGAACAGAGGAAAAAGTGGGATGAGGTGTACTGTGGGCTTGATGATACTGTGAAAAAGGAGTACGATGGCCTCCTTCAGTCTAATACTCAAAAGCATATTCGTGGGCGCCTTGGAAAAGAAAATACCCCTGTGATTTCTGGTTCGTATTATCTGAATTTTCTTTTTCTGCATTGTTTAAATAGTTGTGCAGCTAATGTTGTTTGTTCTTTGATACCTGGTGTTTCTTGAGAGTATAATTTACTATATTTCCGAAACTGGCAGTAAAGATTACATGATAATTTGTGGAGTTTACCTAGTCAATAGATTTGAAGGTTTAATATTTAAACCTATCAATCTTTGTGAAATAGTGTTCATTATCTGTCGGCATGGTGGTATCATTTTAAGAGATTGACTTGTTGGATTATCGCTTTTGGATGATTCTTTGTAAAGTTGTTTAAATGTATAGCGGGAGGTCATTCTATTTAAATCAATGTATGAACATGCATGCCAGCAAAATTCAAGTTGTATCGTTTTTTCTCTTTTTGTTTTTGATCGGTAAATAAGAAAGCTATATAAAAGAAAAGCATCAAAGAGGTAACAATACGTATGGTGATCCAGGAGTATATGAGAAAAAGACAAGAGATTGCCATACCCAAATTTGTATCAAGTCAAAATCAAGATACTGGAAGAATTATACTCTATCGTCGTTTGTCCAAGAGAATACAAAAAATTCTTTGGCTACATCAAATATCTTTTTCACTTTATTGATATGCTTTTATAAAAATTCTGATATTTCATTAACTGAGTCTGTAAAAGTTGCTCAGCAGAGTGCTCTATGGCCTGCTATGCAGTGGTTCTATGCTGTAAGAGTTTCTAGGTGATACATTGATTAAAAAGATTAAGAAAATCAGCATATCCATGTGTGCCTTGTATCTTGGATGGTGCATTGTTTCCCAGTTAGTTCTATGAAGTGCACAAGCAATTAACTAAAGTTTTGTTTTCGAAAGGAAAGGAATCTTAGAATATTTGAAGGCAAATTGAAAATGTAATTAGTATTAGCCTAAGCATAGTTGCATAACTTGGGTAGCTTTTTGGTGCAAGATGGCAATTGTAAATGAAGTTCAAGGCATACTTGATTTCATCAGCGGACCCTATCATTGACTTTCCCCATTTTCATGCAAATGAAAGTTTAGATGTAACTTGCGTTATATTGTAATCATAACTCTTGACATTTTGACAAGCTACACATTTCATGTCAAAGTTTTTTCTCTATATCTTGCCTTTATGTATTGTTTTCTTCTCTACACATTCTGTTGTGGTTGTGTCAATTTGATGGGTTTCCAAATTTCTGTTGGCACAGGTGTTTTGGCTGCAAAAGAACGAGGAAAACATATGAAAGTTTATACTCAAAGAGGCATGACATATATGAATCTGCAAAACACTTTGTGTTTGCCTAGGCATTAGGTCTTTACTATTGTACCCTGTTCGAGATGAAGGGCTGTCGGGAAGAGCATTTCTAACCATTGTCCAATACCTCTGCTGTACAGAAAAGTGTTTGGGATGAGCATTGATTTCTTATTTGCTCATATCTTACCACAATGATGAATCTGATTGTAGATAGATAGCTGTTGTAAATGAAACACTGATACTGTGTTGGATAGAGAGATGATGTGTTCATGTAGCACACTGGATGGATTGCTGATGTAATTGTATGGTCTACTTGCAGTTGTAAAGTGACTGAATTTGCTCAGACATCTGTATTAGAAGTTGTTGAGTGTATGTGAGTAATCGTTTATGCCTTTCAGGTAATGACCATTCAGAGCACTTGGATGATCAAGAAGGGAATATAGACACTAGAAATTCTCCTTCGGCGTTTCCTCTCAGTAGGGATGATGGCATCTCTTATGAGGGAGAAAGCGATGATAGCAATGACGATTATAGTAGCATCCAAAGACCTGCCTTTATAGTTACAGGCGAGCCTGACTTTGATTCTGGTCCTCCTGAAGGTGGGCTTGAGTATCTTAGGCGTGTCAGGTACCACTTTTCTATTCGTGTCTAAAAGGGTTGCTCTTAACTAGGGGTGGCAAAATGGATTTAAAAAAACAAGTAACTACCCATATTATCCGCTAAAATATGGGTTGGATAATGAACATTTTAAAAAACGGGTCAAATACGGATATTACCCATATTATTCATTTTTTAAATGGGTAATCGCTGGTTATCCGATGGGTAATAAAGTCAAAAGTTCCCCAAAAGCATTTTCGCCCCCTTTTACCCATATTAGCGTGCCTAAGCACTGGATGGTGCTTTAAAGGAACAAATGTTTGCAGATGGCAGCAAATTCATATTAGAGGTTGAGGCTAACGTGGAGCCATGAACGGATAATACGGTTAACCGTTTTATCCGCCGGTTAACTCGTTTTTTATCTGTATTAAATATGATTCGGGTCGGATATTTTACAAGTTTTTGACCCGAACCATATCCGATCCGACCCGCCCATTTGTCACCCCTACTCTTAACCTATCCATGTTATGGATGTTACAAAAATAGAAGGCTTTATAGTAGATCTGGGATGCTAAGTTGTGCTTGAAGCCTCTACCCTTCTCATAAAAAAATGTAGAGGGATAACTTGGTATAGCATTAAATAACATGGTAATCCATCCTACTCAAACCTCTCCAAGATACTTCCAACCCTCTATAGGGATACTGTTTGGACCACAGACTTCTCTAATGTTCATTCTTTTTCATATTTGACGGCCTAATTCTAAGATTGTAAATAAAGGGTAAGATGTATGGAGATTTGTAGTTCTCATTGTTCGAGTTGAAGAATTGGCAAAAATAGCCTATTCAATTTCTCCTTGATCTCATTATCTCCCGTCAACACTGGTTGAGCATCGTCCTTGATACACTTCAGCCGGTTTAAATCCTTACTCTTCTCTCTCAATCTTACTATTTTAAACATTTCTTTCTCCCTTTCTCATGTCCCTAGTTTTTGGTACAAGCCATTTAGGGCTTCCTCTTGAGCTTTACTAATAGTCTTTGTAGCTTCGCTCTTAGCTCTCTTATGCTCTTCAAATGCTTCTCCGCCGTCTGCTTTTGTTTACTTCCTATTGATCTTTTAGCTCTAATAACAAATTGATCCATAAAAAATTACAAAGAAAAATAAGTTATTTTGGGTTTGATCTGTTTGACATAGTCAAAGTAAATAAAAGAAACAACATTTATTAGCTTGGTTTGGAAATTAAATAAACTAGTTTATGAACACGTACGTTGCACGTGTGTTCCATATACTATAAATGCTATTAAAATATCATGCTACCCTATAAATACAAGTCCCCACATAGTATACAATTAAAAGAAAATAAACTTGTCTAATATAGGCCAAACAAAACTAAATAGATTTACATGTCGCTTGCAAGTGTTGCTAAGTGAAATATCGAAATAAAAAAGTAAAATTTTTGTGAGAAAAAGAGAATTTCCAACAGGAACATGAGAAATAGGATAATGTGATGAAGTAATTAGACACCTTATTATTCTCACTCTTATAATACAAGGTATAATAAGAATGTGAAAATAATATCCAATAATATATTTCTTTGGCTAAAAGCTATACGGATGCTTATTAAGCTCAAGAACAATCAATCTTATAAAAAGAGGGTAAATCGGAATCAAATGTAATAAGGCTTAGAGATTAATATTGAGATTAGATCGATGATAGTTTTGAGCTAAGTATTCCAAATATATGAAGATAACAAGGTAAGCAATAACACTGATAACAGTTTGTGCAAGAGAGAAAAGTAGAGAGAGAGAAGTAGAGAGAGAATGAGGGTTGTATATTCTGAATATCAAAATACACATGAGTCCTCACAAAAGGAGGAGGTCTCCTTTATATATTAGGAACTCTCCCTCGAAATACTAAAAGAAAAGTACAGAAGTTGGTGGCCTCAGTGTACGGATGAGTCAGAGCTTCAAACGACACCATTGAGTCTTGTCAACTGGGCCACCTTATTGTCGAGGTCGTTCTTACTTGGGTCGGCCTCACTTAGGCCAGCCTTAGCAGGGTCGGCCTTGATAACAAAAGCGTGCCTATGTGGTGTAAGGACGTGGGGAGCCAAATTTGCCCAATACAGATAGTCCCTCCGTTTGTTGGAGACGTAGTTGAGAAACGTCTTCAATGAACGGACATGCGTACGTGACCTTCCCCGAAATTTGGCCGTGCCTGTAGGTACTCCCCGTAAAAGGCGTACATATATATGAAGGTATTATGTCGTTGACATGTTGCCTCCTTTTTGGGTTTCCTTTTTTTCGATGACGTCATCGATCACGTGCGTGATCATTACTTTTTGTTCTCGAGGCGGTTTAGGTCATGATGTGACGTTTCGGTTTCCCGCGCCAATTTTCGAATTGCGCCTTTTCGATTTTCGTGTGCCTTTCTTTATAAATAGAGGAGGAGTTGAAACGGATCCAACTTTCGAACCTTTTCGGAAAGTATTCTCTCAACTTTATCTTCATCTTTTTCTGGTGTTTACTGATCCGCTTGAAACTTCTGTTTCTGGGAGTCGAACTTTGTACTTTTAAAACATCTTACCCTTATAATCTCATCATGGCAAAACGCCGTCGTGACAGTAAAAAGACCAGGGGTGACGCCCCTCCTAGGATTTCACCATCCTCCGGTAGTGGGGAAGAAGAAGCCGAGGAGGTATTCATTCCTCTGTCAACGTCCAACGTACTTCCTCAAGACCTGAGGGTGCGGAAGGACTTCAATACTCAGAGTAAATCCTTTCTGTGGGAGCTTAGTGAGTTGACGTTGTCCCATTTGGACGCCTTTAGAACGTCGTATAACATCCCTAACTACGTCGAGATGGTCCCTGCCGGGATGGACTTTGCCAATGTGCACCGGCCCGGATATTGTACGTTCTACGAATACGCTTTCCGAATTGGGTACACCCTCCCAATCAATCCCTTGGCGGAGGCGCTTTGCTGTTTGTACAGGGTATGCCCGGCTCAGCTAACCCCGTATGCGTTGAAAGTGTGCAAGATCCTTACCACCTACGCGGCTAAAGCCAATGTAGAGGTCACCGTCCACCACCTTCTGCAAATGTGGAATGTGGGCAATATGAGAGGTACCATGCTTCAGCTGGTACGTCGTGGTAAGAAGAGCTTCGTGGTGCAGTCGGATGACAAGGCTAATCATCAGTTTTGGAAGAAGTTCTTCTACATTCGTACCGAACACTTGGTATCTAATCTAGAGGGATTCCCAGAGGAGTGGAACACAGAACGTAAGTGTTTCTGTATGCACTTTTTATGGTGGCCTTCGTATTATTAGCTTAAATACCTTAGAAAATTTTCTTACTTTTCTTTCTACCTTTGTGTAGTGAGAGCTCGCACTCCCGATGCGGTTGACGACGTCAAGTCGTGGGTGAGGACGTTGATTCCGCTTGCTGAGGAGTGCCATACCTGGTCCGCATTTCGCAGGCTTTATGGCCCAAAAGGTGATGGTTTTGCTTTGCTTCTCCCTTTCGTTCCGTCCTGGGGGTTTTCTTTGAGGTTCCCTCTTTGACTCATATCTGTTTGTTAGGTCGAAGTGCTTCTAAGAAGGCACAAAAGAAGAAGAAGAAGACTGGGGCCGGTACCTCCAAAGTAGTGTCCGAATCTGAGGAGGGGGATATACTCCTCGAGAGTGCGCCCAGGGACGGTGCCTCTTCTCCTCTAGGGCAAGAAGTTGTGTTAGAAGTGACTCCTGAGGCGACATCTGAGGTGGCGCCTGGGGCTGTTCCTGAGGCGGTGTCTGGGAAGACACCTGCGGCGGTACCAGAGGCCATTCCTGAGGCTGTCCCTGTAGCGACACCGTCTATTGAGACGGCGCCCGCCGAGCCGACTGTGCGTTCCGAGGGGAGAGGTTCCGAAGAGGAAGAACTGTTGGAGAAGAAGAGGCGCCTAATCCGAGCTGGTAAAGTAGTGGCCATTCATAAGGAGAAGGTTAAGCTGCCACCCCGTAGGTCTGGGCCGGTCTTTATGGCTGATGCCATTCGTTCGGGGAGGCCTGCTCCTCGGAAGGAGGTCATTGCTGCTCCTAGCCCGACACGTGATCAGGACGGCGGGTCGCAGGCAGTTACGAAGAGAGGGGGTGAGAGTATGGGTGTAGCGAGCCCCGAAATTGTCATTGAAGATGTGGGCGAGGATGGCGAACCCTTTAACCGAGTGGAGATGATAGCTGGACAGTCTGCACGCTGCATAGTTATTCCTAACAATTATAACATATTGGAGAATTGTGAGGAGGCGGCTTCGAGCATGTCTCTTTTATGTGCTGGGGCTGAGAGTGATGCCTTGGCGGGGACTGGCATCAAGGTCTTGTCCCGAAGGGTAGCGGGTGCTGCTTTGCAGGTACGTCCCCTTGCCTTGATCCTTTTACGCACTTTGTGGGGCATGGTTTTCCGTGTACTTACTTTTGGCCTTTTTTTGCTTTCAAACTCTCATTTTGGAGGCGGAGAGAAGTCGGCGCATGCAGAGGATGGTGGACAAGCATAAGAAGCTGCTGGAAAAGTATAACCAGACGTGCGAGGCGCACCGATCCTTGGCCGACATATACAAGCAGGACCCCAGCTTTAAGGTGTTCCGTGAGGGCCTCGTGGAGTCTGAGGCACAGTTGAAGAAAAGGGTGGCCGAGCTGGAGAAAGTTGATGAGCAGCTGGTGGCCACTGTTGCTCGGGTCGCGGAGATGGAACTCCTTATTTAGTCCAAAGATGAGGAGTTACAGCTAGGCTGCATGGCGGTGGATGAGGCGGAGGTACTGCGAGCTCGAGTTGCGGCCTTGACGACGGAACTCGATGCTAAGAATGCTGAGATTGAGGTTCTCCGCCGGGCTCCCATACAAGACGATGCGTCTCGTGATGCTCATGAAATGTGGGTATATGCGGAGGCTCGGTTGGCCGTGCTTGAAGAATTTTTGGTGGCGGGGCGTGCTTCTGAAGCGGAGGTTGAGAGTCAACGCCACTTGGCCAGGGTCGCCCGTGAAGCGGCCGTTTATAGCTCTGATTCGCCGGCTCGGGAAGGTGGCAA